ACCCAGGGTTGTGTTGGCAGGTGATGAATATTGCATTTGGAAAAATGAAGAGCCTTCTGTACTGGATGGGGGGGGGTCAGGCCCTGCCTCAGTTTCTCCCTGTGTGACCTCTGCCCTCCTGCTCATTTTCCTGGCAGTCCTAAATAAAACCCAACTGTCTCTTCCCCAGAGGAGGAGGCTAGGCCAGAGAGGGTAGTGGGAAGGGAGCCTGGGAGAGTTAGAGAGCCAGGTGTTGGTCCATGATGCACAGAAGAGGTGGTGGCCAACCTGGGGTCAATTTCTGGCAGTGATGACTAAAGAGAGAAGCATGCTTTCCAGGGCAACAACAGTTGCCCCAAACTGCCACTTCTTTGGATGGACCAATCACCCTTGCCAGAGCACTTGGCACTCAGCTGGTAGGGGTTGCCCAGCATTTTTTGGTAGAAAGTAGTCTCTGTCATCCACTAAGGTATGTGCATTTTTCATTAGCATGAGAGCTCCACGTTGATCATGTTATTGTAAGATTCCAGCTTCAGGGCTGCAGTCGGTACTTCACAATGTGACCTTCAGACACCTACCAAAACTCCAACATTGTCTGACCTCCATCCAACCGATTTATATTTCAGTATTGCACTCTCCACCTGTGCCTTTTTACTTTTTTGACCTCCAACCCCCCATGACCATATTCTAGGAACGTCAGTCTAACCCTCCTCAGCTTCTGTTATGTCTGCAAAGTTTCTTTTCCATAGCCTTCTTCCTCTTGCCTTACTATGCCCCATTCCAGTATCTCATCCCATGCTCTGTGTTTTCTGTGCCATATCCCTTATCTTTCAGGCATTATCAACACCTCAGGAACCCAAACCACATGCTGCTGTCATGACATTCAATTACATAAATGTACAGCCTTGCTCCTTGGCTCCTGGCCTCACTCATGCCCACTGTCCTCTTCAGCTCTCTAGTTGTCCTGTACCATTTTACCTTCTTGCCAATGTCTATTCTATTCAATAGTTCCATTTTCATTTTCAATAGTCTGACTTGGGGCATTATATTCTACCAATATCTGACTTCCATTGAGGATGGAGACATAGGTAAACACACTTCACCTCCTCATGCAACTATAGAAAGAATTACAACCAGTTCTCAAAACTAGTAACACCCAGGACTGTCAGAAATTCAACGTGTAGTTAGTGTGACAACCAAAGATTTAAAGAAGCCACATTCATCCAGATGGGTAGGAGTGGCACAGTCATAAAGATGGGCAGAGAGGCAATGGCTGCACTGGCAGAATGGATGGGAAGTGTGCCCTGGGAGTGGGTGATACCAGCCCCAGTCCATACCACACAGCCCAGAGTTCCATCATTGGGAAGACAGATCACCATTACCTTTGGGTGTAAAAACCTGTGGGGTTTTGGGGTGGCAGAAGTCACTGCCAGATTTTGACTGGTTGAAGGGCCAGCATGGTCTTAGAACATGCATAGGGCCACCCACTGAGGATTCACCACTGTGACAGGAGCTAGAAGTGTTCCAGTCACACATGGGAAGGGGTTGAAGTGAGTGGAAACAGGGCAAGTGCTGGCCAGAAGGCAGGTGGCAGCATTGTCCACTCTCATAGCCTTCCCCACAGAGACACAAAGTGGTGAAGGGGTTCCTTGCCCTGGCAATTACCTAGGGCTTCATCCCACAGATTTTACATGTGCTTTTTCTCCATAGGCCTGCTACTAAGACATAGTAAAAGCAACTCTACCTACACAGAAACAAACACAGGGAGGCTGCTAAATTGAGGAGAAAAAGAAACATGGACCAAAGGAAACAATAGTACAAAATCCCAGAAAAAGAACTAAGCAAAATTGATATAGCCAACCTTTCAGATGCAGAGTTCAAAACACAGATTATCAGGGTGCTCAGAGAACTCCTTGAGTACAGAAAAAGAAAATAAAGGTTAGAAGTAAAGGTTATACTAAGTGAGATGAAGAATAATCCACGGGAAACGAACAGAGAGGGGAAAGATGTCGGGATTCAACCAACAATTTAGAACATGACAAAGAGATAAACATTCAACCAGAACAAAAGGGTGAAACAAGAATTTTAAAAAAAAGGAGGAGAGGCTCAGGAATTTCTGGGATACCTCCAAACATTTCACCCTCCAAATGATAGGGTTTCCCAATGGAGAAGAGGAAAAGCAAGAAATTGAAAACTTATTTGAAAGCATAATGAAAGAAAATTTCCCCAGTTTGGTTAAGGAACTAGACATACAAGTCCAGGAAGCACAGAGAGTCCCAGACAAGTTGGACACAATGAAGACCCACATCATAAATAAAATGCCAAAGGGCAAAGATTAAGAAAGAGACTTAAAAGCAAGAGAAAGGCAGACAGTGACCTACAAAGGAGTTTCCATAAGTACCCACACACTGAAACTCTCCCAAACTCCCAGTTTTCTAGCATGCTTCTTGACATAATGTGGCAATGCTCAGAGCACATTTTAAGTGTTGTGCATTATAATAGATATTTCCCATGTGATTGTTGCAGGGTTCAAAATTCTACAAAGAATAGGGAGATTTCCATCCTCTTTTAGGCATTCAGAAGTCTGAAGTTATACAAGTCTTCTGTAACAGATGATATTATTGTGGTATACACATGCATGGTGAATTTGATGTTATGTAACAGAGCAATTGTGAGTTTAGATGAGTGTGTGTACTAGAAGATTTATATATGTGAGTGTAAACCTTCAGATGTTCAGTGTGTGCATTATGTGAGCAGATTTGTGTATATGTGTAAGTAATTCAATGTGACTGTAATACAGTGAAAGTGCATGCATGTGTGTGTTTGCATCTGTGTGTAAAGGACTCTGCTTGTGTGAGTGTGTGCAGGATGGGTTATCCATGATAACAGCTCTAAACAGTGACTTGACAGTGTGGGTATCAATAGTGAACTTGGATAAAAAAATTGATTTGTGTGTAGAAAAACCTAGAGAATGAAACTCAACTTGTAATTTATACGTTTTTCTTTTTGCCCATGAGAAATATATTTCTTAATTTAAAAAGCAAGAAGTTTCTTACTGAAAATTATGCAAAAAGGTAAGTTTAGAGAAAGATGTTTACCATTCAGTGATGTTGAATTAAGAAATTGGCATTGGAAGAATCTCCCTGTGACACTGTGTGATCCTGGTGTCTTGTATGGGAGGGACTATTAGAATGTTCTATCTTCTGTGGATATTGTTCTGCCTCTGCTTTTGATACTATTGGGGATCCCTAGGGGGCAATGTATATTTTGTCATAGAAATTTTCTATAAGTTGATACTTCTTTTGAGCCACTCAGTATAGCAACATCTAATGTGTATTATTCACAGTGTGTTTTTCCTGTACTGACCGTCTTTTTAAATCTTCCTTATTGATTCCTTTGCTCCATACATCCACAATGGTGTAACTCATTTGTAAGATTAGGAAAAGATTCACTTTGGATAGAACTTCTTAATGGAGCAGAATGTCCAGTGAGATACCAGATTCACCCCCGTGTCTCACAGGGGTCAGACATCAGCACTCCCTGCTGTCTGTCCTCCATGGGAGACCCTGTCTGCTCCAGGGATCATGGAAGAAAAGAGCCTGTCACAAACACTTCAGTAGTCTCCTAAGAGATGCTGGCTGGGAACTTAGAGTTGTTCTTGGTAATTAGCAAGTAGAAAGAAAGTTTAAAGAAATATTCCCAGCTCCCAAGCTTGTCAGTGCCAGTGCTGCTACTGGTGAAATGATAATTACAGTTCATAAGGGAGATGAGATCACTGAATCACAACTGATATCTCAGGGTCCAGCTGCCTGCCCCAGGTACTGACAGTGCTGACTTCATGATGAGTCCAGAGTCCAGGCAGCAGCAGAAGTCGGTGGCTTTTCTCTTAATTAATTTGAGAGTTGGAGACTGTAAGGGAAGGCATTAAATAATAAGAGTTTGGGTAAGTGATGATAGTGGACAAAGGGGATCTTCTGAGAGTTAACTTGGTCCACCCCAAAGCCACAGCAAAGGGTGAGGAATTCTGAGGCTTGAGCTGAGCTGGTAAAGAGATGTGCATCCTAGACCTGCTCCTGTTTCCAGTGGCTCCTGATGTGCTGTAGTGTGGTCCTCACTCACAGTTAAAGCTGTGTTTTATCCAGTGATCAGGAATCCTACTTTTTAATGTGCTTAAGGGCTGCAGATTTCAAATCAATTTCTGGTGAGCAGGATTTACAGGCATCACAGAAATAATTTGCACCTTTCTAGAGGGGCATTGTAACATCGGCAGGATTTTTCATCTTTGGAATAATCTGACTGCAAAAAGTGTGTCTGAGAGCATTTGCTGAAGCACACCTGTTTTCTTTAACTCAGGGTGTGTATTGGGCTTAAGTGGTTTAATCATCGTGTCTTTATTGATTATGAAGAGATTATTCCCTTTTAAAGTTTGGGAGGCAGCATCTAAGAAAAATATAACTGAATAAAATTTAGTCATCACCTTCAGGTTCAGATGTATCTTGCAATATTTTTACTTTTAAAAGTATAATACCAATCCAGAAAAAGTGTGTTGTTTTATAATATACAGTGTTATATATTACCATTCATTTTGCATGTCTTGTATTTTAATACTTTAACAGAAATATAACATTGATGTTAATTATTTAATTTCACCCACATCTTAGTAAATATATGTATATGATCTAAAATTATTAATAATTGTGCCATACAGTGTTTATTAGGCATCAGATTTTGGTGTTGCATAGTTTTGGTTACTCATGTCATTGTAATTATTTCCTGGAATATAGACTAATGACCATTTCTGTGGCCTTCCTAATATTTAACTGTCCTTTTGAGCTTGTAAGGGATAAAGAGGTGATTTCATGTGTGGCCTTGATACCAATGTCTCATATTTTGAGTGTTCTTTAATGGTTACACATTCATCCCTTGCAAGCCACTAGATGGCAGAAGAACAAAATCTGAAGTCAGTGTTTTAGGGAAAACTGTTGAGAAGTCGAAAATATTGGAGTTCAGCTAATGTGGTATGTGTGGCTCATGCCTTACTTTCCCATGCAGGGTTCTTTCTAGGTCAGAAGAAGATACCAGTCACTGAGAACAGACATCATGTCCATCAGGAATTTGGCAATAGGAATGGTCTGCTTACTACAGACTCTAACTGGAGTTGTGGGGAATTCCTCTCTTCTTTACCATTATCTCTTCCTTTACTTCACTGGGTACAAGCTGAAGCCCACGGATTTGATTGTCAACAACCTGATTGTGGCCAACTTTTCAGTTCTGGTTTTTAGTGGGTTTCCCTATAGCATGTCATCTTTTGGGTGGTATAATGTTTATAGTGATATTGGATGCAGATTTTTGTACTATTTGCGTGCAGTGGGCAGGGGTGTGTCCATTGGCACCACTTGCCTCTTGAGCTTCTTTCAGGCCATCACCATCAGCCCCATGAACTCCAGGTTGGCAAACCTTAAACATAAAGCCCCAAAATACATTGTCCCTACAATTTTTATGTATTGGATCCTGCAAATGTTGATAAATGTAATTTATCCTGTGTTCCTGTCTAGCAAATTGAGCAACGGAAACATCACAAATAGAAAACATTTTGAATACTGTTCTGCTGTTCGTCATGATGCAACCAGAGACTTCCTATATGCAGCCTTGATAGCATCCCCTGATATTGTATGTTTTCTGCTCGTGCTCTGGGCCAGTGGCTCCATGGTCTTCATCCTGCACAGGCACAAGCAGAGGGTCCAACACATTCACAGGACCTCCATCTTTCCCCGATCCTCCCCTGAGTCCAGAGCTACCAAAACTATTCTTCTCCTGGTGAGCACCTTTGTCTTTTTGAACACCCTTTCTTCCATCTTTCGTATTCTTTTATCTGTTTTAAAGAATCCCAGCTGGTTCATTTTGAGCACCAATTCATTACTGTCTCTGAGTTTCCCAAGTGTCAGTCCCTTTCTGATCCTGGGCCGTGACTCCAATGTCTCCAGATCCAGCTTCACCTGGAAAAGAAATGCAAACTTCTGTCATGGTTGGAGAAATATGTAAATTGTATGTACATGCACAGTGTTCATTTGGTAATTCACTCATCCTCCTCAGCATCCTAAGTACTATTAGGAGTGCCTTACAAGGGACTGGGACATAGGACATGGTTAGTATTGTCAAAGTCAACAATGTTATAATAGTAAGTGCGATGACGTATTATATAACTGCTTTGTAAATACTTCTTTGATAGAAGTTTCCTCATGTTTGGCATGGAGGAATTCAGAATGGATGCAATATAAACATCAGGCCCTGAAACATCTGGATATTCTGGAGAAGTCTTCAAGTATGTAAATTCAATGTATCCCAGTACAGGTCCAGAAATGTGCAAGTCATGCACTTGTAAGAAAAGTTAAATAAATGAGGATGAAGATCAGCATGTGGCAAGTCACTACTGAGCTGAAGACAGCAGTGCTGGAGGGAATTCAGTCTGTGAGGAAAGCCTGTGGCATCCTGTTCTGACCTTGTACAGACACCCCTGGAGAGGCAGTGGTCTGTTTATCTGAAATAGAATGTTATGAAGGGTGATAACCATGTTCAACAAATTTGAGGCAGAAATGGACAGATTTAACTGGAGTGGGGCAATGACAGCATCAAATGATATTTTATTTATTTTTTGAAAGATGTTATTTATTTATTTTGAGGGTGAGGGGAAGGGCAGGAAAAAGGGAGGGAGAGAAACATCAATGTGTGGTTGCCTCTCACATGCCCCCTACTGGAGACCTGGCCCACAACCGAGGCATGTGCCCTGACTGGGAATTGAACCAGTGACCCTTTGGTTCCCAGGCCCATGCTCAATCCATTGAGCTCTACCAGCCAGGATAAAATTATATGGTACTGATTTTTTGACCACACCAGGTGAGTGTGACCATTTTAAAAGATGTGAATTGAATGGAATTGCAACCCACAGAAGGTAGGTATTTGTTTTGTGAAAAGGATTTGGGAATGTTGTCAGAAGGGGGTCTATAGGTGCACACTCTTGTCTCTCTGATGACACTAGTTCATCACAGGGACTTCCTTTATCTGGAACACTGTAGCCAGGTCCATTTGAAAGGAAAGTCAGGAATCCATTCTATGTATGTGGAGTCTGTGATTCTTTCATTTTTAAGAAGCAAAGTAAACATTTTCTCAATTTCTTAAGAGATTTTATATATCTTTCTCTATGTTTACATTGTGAGCTGTTACACACTTATAGATTCAGCAATTGAGAAACAAAAGAATGATTTTGACCTTATTCTTACACATGTGGAGCCTTGTACCATGAATGAAACCCATATATTTTGCACATATGAAACTCTTAAATCAAGGCCCAAATAACTAAGAATAGAGAATAAGGAAAACCATAGAAACATCTATGTACAATGGTTTGTGAGAGCATAGACAAACATACATGTTTGTGTGTGATCTGTGCATATGTATATTATATACATATACAGCCAGTTGTGCTTCTTATTCTCTAATCAATATTGAAAGTAATACATTAACAAATTTAAAATAGTACTAATACTATCATGACAAATTTAAAATGTGTTTTCAGATGTGTGCATTGGAGTGCTTTTCTCTATTAAAATTCAATAAAAATGTGGTTTTGAATTTTGTCTGGTTGCATCTCTTGAAAACACATAAATATTGTAAACATTTGTTTGTATTTGAAACAGGGATTAGTCTACCTAAGTTTAATATAAAAATTAATACATTTGGGTATCAATAGAGTTTATTCACTCTAACTTTATTTACATTTACTTTATATGTTCATTTATTCTACTAATTTTTGAAATATAATTCTAAGTTATATATACTATAATTGTCTATAATTATACATTTTTAATAAGCAAAGTTGATCTTTTTAAAAAAGATGTTATTTATTTATTGTTAGAGAGGGGAAGGGAGGGAGAGATAGAGAGAGAGAAATATCAATGTGTGGTTGCCTCTCACGGGGACCCCACAGGGGACCTGGTTTTCAACCAGGCATGTGCCCTAACTGGGAATCAAACTGCCATCCCTTTGGTTCACAGCCCATGCTCAATCCACTGAGCTACGCCAGCCAGAGCTTATTATACATTTTTAAAAGACTTTATTTATTTATCTTTAGAGAGGAAGGGAAGGAGAGAAGGAGAGAAACATCAGTGTGTGATTGCCTCTCGTGAGCCTCCTACCGGGAACTGGCCTGCAACCCAGGCATGCTCCCTTACTGGGAATCGAACTGAGATCGTGTGGTTCAAAGACCTGCACTCAATCCAGTGAGCCATGCCAGCCAGGGCCTAATTATACATTGTAATTGACTTATTACCTTTGATGTTTGCTTAGTGATTATTTGTTAGTTTCTACCTAGTAACTTCAGCATATGCTTAAAAGCTAATCATACTGTCATTCTATTTACTACTGTTGAACTTCAACTTTACAGTATAAGGACACTATAAAACACTCCTGTACTCTACCTGGATCAGGAAGTAGAATGTTGTCACCATCCAAAGACTCCTATGCTCCTTCTGTGTGACTCTTCCCTAGGTTAAGCACAGTTCTGACATCTTATAGCACAGGTTACTGGGGCCTATTTTGCACTTTACATGGGACATTATATCATGTTAACTCTTTATGTTTTGTGTTTCTCATGCCTTGTTTTTGGTGAACTTATTGTTGTGCGTTGGTATTGGTTTTTCAATAGCCTTGCTGTATAGGATTCTATTGTGGGAATATAAAACATTTAATTGAATCATTTTCTGTTCTTTGGCATATGGGTGGTTTTCTTTGACATATGAGACTGGGAATGTTAGGGAAATTCCTGTGTATAAATATAGACAATTTTCGATGACATACACATTTCCTTCGACAGTGCATGTGGGAGAGGAATTGTTGGGTTTTAAGTCTTGGAAATTGTATCAAAGAGGTTTGGAAAACTTTTGAAGCAGCTGCCACTCCCACCAGCAGTAGGATTTTTGAGTTTATTAACATTATTGTCATCTCTTTTGGTTTAGTTTTCTTTTTCATTTTTCTGTTAGACTTATGATTGATGTATGTTGGAGACATGTAACAAGTTACTTACATTTCTTCATTAGTATAAAATCTGAGGATATTTTCACATGTATTAGACATAAGACAACCACATATTAAAATCTTTCTTTAATTTTTCAACCTTGTTGTCTTTTTCCATAGATTTGTAACAGTTTTATATATTTGCTGGACATGATTTCTTTCTTGGTACCTCTCTTCCTCTCAAGACCTGTGTGTGTGTGTGTGTGTGTGTTGTGTGAATGAGCAGCATCTTTTCATTTTGATGTGGCTTAATATATTGTCCTAGATAATGTTATTCTGTTTAAGAAATATTTTTCTATTACAACACTAGAGGGATATAATGTATCATTTCTGTTTCAAAACATCATATAGATTCATCTCAAAACATCATTTAAGATTCAGATCAGCAATCCACCCAGGACTGATGTGGTGTATGTGTGGATGGCAAACTGTACTATTTTAGTACATTTTATTGATTATGCTGCTATAGTTATCACAATTTTCCTCTTATGCCCCCTCCACTGGTACCCCCTTTCTCCACTTGGTTCCTACCCATGGGTCTTTAGCATAAGTTCTTTGGCTTCTTCCTATCCTATACTATTCTTAACATCCCACTGTGTATTTTGTTTCTATCAATTATACTTCTTAACCCTGCACCATTTCCCCCATTCTCCCCCATTCTCCCCCTGCCCCCTCCCAGCTGATAACCCTGCAAATGATCTCCATTTCTATGATTGTGTCCCTGTTCTAGTTGTTTGCTTAGTTTGTTTTAGTTTTAGTTTTTCCGATTCAGTTGTTTATACTTGTGAGTTTGTTGTCACTTTAATATTCATGTAATAGTTTTGATCTTCTTTTTTCTTACACAAATCCCTTTAAAAGTTCATGTAATAATGGCTTGGTGATGATGAACTCCTTTCACTTTACCTTGTCTAAGAAGCACTTTATCTGCCCTCCCATTCTAAATGATAGCTTTGCTGGATAGAGTAATGTAGGTGGAAGGTCCTTGCTTTTCATCACTTTGAATACTTCTAGCCAGCCCCTTCTTGCCTGCAGTTTCTTTTCAGAAATCAGCTGATAAATACAAAGAGTTCCTGTCTTTATATTTAACCTTTGGCATTTTAATTACGATATGTCTGGGTGTCATCCTCTCTGGGTCCTTATTTGGGACTCTCTGCTTCCTGGACTTGTATACCTATTTCCTTCACGAAATTGGGGAGTTTTCTTGCATTGTTGTTTCTAATAAGAATTCAATTTCTCTTCTTCCTCTCCTTGTGAAACCCTTATGATTCAGTTGTTGGTATGCTTAAAGTTGTCCCAGAGGTCCCTGAGCCTCTCCCTGTTTTGTTTTGTTGTTGTTTTTAAATTAAATTCTCGTTTCTTCTTCTTGTTCTGGTTGAATGTTTATTTCTTCCTTTTGTTCCAAATCCTTGATTTGAGCCCTGGCTTTCTTCCCTTCACTGTTGGTTCCTTGTATATTTTTCTTTATTCCACTTTGTGTAACGTTCATTTCTTCCTTTATTTTCTTGCCACACTCAGTAGGTTCTGTAAGCATCCGTTATCACCAATGTTTTGAACTCTGGATCTGATAGGTTGGTTATCTTCATTTCATTTCATTCTTTCTCTGGGCTTTTGTTCTGTTCTTTTGTTTCACTCATATTTCTTTACCTCCTCAATTTGGCATTCTCCCTATTTTTGTATATTAGGTAGAGCTACTTTTATTACCTGTCTTAATAGCATAACCTATGTAGCCAAGGCACCTGTAAATTGTATGGGGTGGAGCTTTAGTTAATTACCAGGCTAGGGCAACTTGCTTCTCCTCTCTGTGGGTCTGCTTTGGCTGGGGGCGGAGAGGGGACCCTGTCACTGCCTGTTGTCCAGAGGTCTGGCCATTGCTTGCCCCGTATTCAGTCACTTCACCAACTTCCCATATGCAATTAGCACCCCTCCAGCTGCTTTCGTGAGGTTGGGTATGTTCTGAGTCCATGTATGCCCTT